TCAATGTTTCACAAAAATTTAAATCTATTTTAGGCCTAGTCCACACGTACACGGGTATTTTTATAAGTTACCCTCCTTTGTTTAAAAAAACAAACAAATCGTGTCCACATGAAAACGCAAAAACACACTGTGAAGCACTGACAAGAGCATGCCAGACCAACAGGTGGTGATATAACCCTAACCGTAAAGCCATGTTGGCCAACCAGAAGCCTGAAAAAAAGGTTATTACCGGTTGTTACCGGTGCGTACTCCGACGACACAAGCCAAGATCTCCAGTTTCACCGGCTACATGACAACACTGCAACCGGAGTTTCTGAAAATCTTCACCCTGGCAGGAGCTTTCAAGAAGGTTCAGTTTCAGTGACCATATTCTGGATATTATAGAAAATATCCATATTCAAAACATAATAATCACTTTAATCTAGCTTGCGTCAACAGTTGTACACGGAAGCAGCACCGGGAGGATGACGTAAGATGTCGGCGTTGCACATGCGCCAGTGAGTCTCGTGAAAACCAACGTTTGTTTATAGGAGCAAAGGAAGCAAAGTTTCCTTACTTTAGCAAAGGAAAACCAGTCTCCTCTTGGCTTATATTGAAATCCTCCGACATTCTTCGTTGCAAATCCTCGTTTTGTACTTCTAATTCATGACCGTTGTTTTGTTTTGATCTCTCCCCTGTACAACAATGAGTGCAAGCTAGATTAAATGGATGCGTGGATCCATTAAATGGATGCATCCATGGATGCGCTTTATTTCACTTCTTTTGGACTGATGCACTGCAGCACCTGCTGACTGCCATTAAACAGCTTGGAAGATCAAAGACCATTTTTAATATAACTCCCATTGGATTCGTCTGAAAGAAGAAAGTCATATACACCTAGGATGCCTTGAGGGTGAGTAATTTAAGGACTAATTTCCATTTTTGGGTGAACTAACCCTTTAAGCTTTACATTTCACCTGACACAAATGAATAATGCAAAAATGCAAATAAATGTCTCCCGGAAATGTGATTAGTCATTCCGATCTGATGCCAACATTTCATAAAGCTCATCGAAATCACCAACAGGCATCATCATTAATATCCAATTCATATTTCAATGAGTGAAGAGGATGGCGTCAGCACATTTAATGTGTTCTCTCAAAGCACTCAACTTTCATTAAGCCAAATAAAGCTCTCATTGGGGCTCAGGGGCCTTCGGAGCCCGCGGAGACAATGGAACGCATCTCCTTTGCTGATGAGCATCCTATCGCATTTCAGAGAGGGAGACATGGCTGACTGACTAACCACAAAGTCAAAGGCTCATTTTGGAGTTCTTTCACAGAGAAGGAAAAGATGTAAGCTGTTTTAGCGCGCTCCTCCCGTTGCGAGGGGAATAAAACAGAAGCCACATCAATGGTGGCATGAATAATAAATAATGTCATCTCAGAAACAAAGAGAGAGATGGATGGAGTGAGAGAGAATGATGGAGGAAGATGAAAAAACAGAGTTTGCATGCCAAGGCCAGAAAAAAAAAGAACAAAAACAAGAGAAAAAAAAGAAGGGGACGTCTATGAGTGACGGGTTTTAGAGAAGGACCAAGTTAGAAAGATGGAGAGAGGGCGAAATAGAGGCTGACAGAGAGAAAATTCAAGAGAAATTGGCATGAAGGAGAAAAGAAAGAGACGACCACCAAAACTAACCTCAAGTCAGTGATATAACATTAAATGTAAAACTAAGCAAAAACAAAACAAAAAACAAAACAAAGCTAAGACAAAACACAGAAAAAATTAAAACCAAAAAAGCAAACCAAAACAAACAAAAGCAAAGCAAAACAAACCAAAGCAAAGCAAAACAAATCACAAACAAAAGAAAATAAAAATGCTAGTTGGCTTGTACTTCTAAAAAGTAGCCAATATTCCAGTTTAATTGGCATTAGCTATATATTCATATTTTTTTTATATTTTTTTAAATAATAAAAAAAAATTATACTTAATAAAATATAATTTTTAATTATTGTTTATATATTTTTCCAACTTTTTGTTTTACATTTTGTTAAAGTTTGGTCTGTTACGATTTGACACAATTTTATCCTTTTGCACATGATTGTCAACTAAAAATGTTCTGCTATTTAACAGTAAAATGGACTAGAAAAACTGAAATATTACAGCCTGCAAGCCATCCATATAAAGGAAAAGTGACATTTTGTTGCAAGGAGATTCAGTAAGCAGCCTGGGAGTTTTTAATGAGAGTTACTCTCTGGTCTCCCTCTGCCACTGATCAAGGGAATAACCTTTACAAGTTACCTATGAAAACCATTGCTGGATATATTGCGTTCTCGCTCCATCGTCCAACGAAAAAAACAAAACAAAGATGCTCTTATAGAAATCCAAAAGGCAACCTTTGGATTCACCACACATGGCTAGTAAACACATGAAAGTGAATGCCCCACTTCGAATAGCAGGTCGACCAAAGCAATGGGCCCCTGCATTGATTTCTAAGTCTTTTATCCAAAAAAAAACATTTCCTTTGGCAGTCAGGTATACAGGTATATATACATATATAAGGAATAAACACAAGGCAATAGGCCCCTTGGTAGCAAAACTCTTACTGCAAGGGTCACAAAGCTTGTTGAATCTCCAAAACAAGAGGCTGGCCAAATGGTAAAGTCAGTATAAATTCAAAGTTTACCCTATTTACTTGGATAATTCATGTTCTAGGTCTTATTGTGCATGATTTACCAAAATAATAAAAATTTTCTAATCTTTCATCAAAAATGTAATAACTTGGTTCTCAACTTTTTGGCTGATGCCGCATTATTTTTCTTATATAATAAGCCATTTTTGTTGATGTTGTTTTAAAAATAAGTCTAAAAGATGTAGAAAGGTTCATTTTTCTTTAAAAAATAAATAAATAAGTGGGATATATTAAACTGATGTTTTCAGGCTTTAAATATAAACACAAAACAAAAGTACTGACAAAAAAAATACACTAATATATATATATGTGTGTATTGATCCAGAACAGTAATGATGTTATTTTAGCACTTATAATTTGAGTTCCATGTGAGTATGGTGATGTGTCATCCACATCAAGCATTTGGGGCATAAAGCAGAAATGGGAAACGGATCAGAACACTGCCCCTTTGTTCCCGCGACCTGACCTTGTGTGCATTGTGAATGACACATCTGGAAATCTTTTTTGCTCATAAAAGTCAGTGTTCTGTGAAGACCACACATGGAATGGAGAATAAAACAAAAGGGCCCAAAAAGAGACATCACTGTAGTATGTGCCTGCCTGACTCTCTCTCTCACACACACACACACACATAAAATAATTGTCGGCGTTAATCAATTAATGTGATAACGCATTAACTTGCCCAGCCCTAAAATAAACCTAAATGTACCACAGTTGTTCCTGATTTCTTCAACAACTAACTATTTTGGCCTTAATGGTTACTCTACATACTTATAATATTCTTATTCTTGATATAATAATTTGGGAATGGATATAGCTACTAATACCACAATAAAATGCTCTTTAACCTGTATGTATGTATATATGCACACACACACAAGTTTTTATTATAAATGTATAATATATTGTATATAACATGTACTAATTTATATTTACTACCTTCAAATGTCTTTTTATTTACTGTTTTACCCTCATTCAAAACCCAAGCTTTCGATCCTAAACTATGAAAATCTGTCATAAAAATTTAATTTGTAATTTTGTAATTTTGCAAAAAAAAAGAACAAGAATATTATTAGAAGATATTGTTTAAATTGTATTTAGGATACATGTTTTTATGATGTGTATTTATGTTACATAGCATGCTAACTATGAAAATAGCCTTAGAAAGACAAATTAGTCAGCTATTTTGTTACAGAAATGTTTAGTTTAATTTCCAAAACAATTCACTGTGGTGGAAGTGACACTGTGGTGGTAATGTTCCAGAATTTTTAATTTTTTATGTGTATAAAAAATATGTAGATTCTGTGTAGCCCAAGTGCACACATAGTGCTAACAGACTGCTAGTGTCCAAATTGTACCTGAAACTTGGCATGAAAAAAGGTTCTCGTACACAATACAGTGCTTACAGTGGACACATGTAGTGACAAATACATGACACAAAGATTTCCCGAACATTTTGTACAGAAGACATTCACCAGGAACGCTCACCAACACACAATCTCACACGCGTCGGTTTATGACAGAGAGAAAATAAAAAGTGTATTTGCAGGTGGTGATGGACAGCACAAATTGGGATGGACTGTGTGGAGGTGACAGTCTGCGATTCCACGTCCTTTCCACCGCTCACTGGCAGGAAATTGGGAAATAACAGTCCTGTCACACTCGTCCCATTCAGCCTTCATTAAGTAAATCATCTCTCTCTATGTGCCCACATTCTCCACCACCTTCTCCCCCACAACTCAGGCAGCTCTACCACAAACAATCATTGTTTATTCAGAGCACACAACAAAGAACAAGGAAGTGAGCAAGCAATCTAACACAAATAATTTTAAGAGGCGCACATTGCTGCTTTATGGCACAGACTGTTAGGCCAATTATCGAAAGGAGTCATTTCGGTCAAGCAATTTTAAACCATCAAACGTTTATAGACAAAGACGATATGTTAACAAGCGATCTGCAAAACTGCTCTTCCGAGATTAAAACCAACATATGTGTCTGCCGGGCTACTCGCAAAGCTCACTTTTGAGAAATAGCTGCGGGTGGTGCTCAGTAACACATGGCAGAGAACTTTATCATCATAAATTATGCACGGAGGGCCAAAGCATCTCTCGAATAAGAGCAGCCATGATACTGTGCAGAGTATCCAAAGATGGAAAATGCATTGTCCCCATTTGCTAAACATGGCCTACTTAAGAAAATATATTGCCTGGTGTAGATGAACGAGTAAACCCAACATAACAATCCATATCTAACAGTATGATTCTCGAGGAACAAACAATTGACTTTCAAATGAGGTGTTCGAGAACAATCTAGCACACAGGACTCACATGTAGCGCAGGTAGGGGTTCTTAGCGAAGGCTCGCGACTGAATCGTACGCAAGTTGCAGTTCACGATGTTCCTGGAATGGAAAGGACAAATAAACATGTATTAGTAGTTAGTCCCAAGTGTGAACCCAACAATTTTGACCTCATGTTTTTTCTTCCTGGACATTTTTCTAAAGTTGAAACACTTTTAAATCTTGAAAGTAAAATGATGAAAAATTGACTGCAGATCAGAATATATTGACTTCTAAAGCCACTTTTTGTAATGATATTTAGATAATTCTTGAATATATCATTAACAGCTTCTCACAAACTAATCTCACAATTTCTAAAGAAGATTTGTATTTATATAGATTTCAAACAGCTTCAGTTTCATACATGCCGAACATGCAGATGGGCTCCAGTTGATCATTAACTTATCTCTGATTCTAGGCTTTTCCCCACATTTTTTAAAACGTTTTTTTCATCTGCGCATCAAACGTGTGCAAAGAGAAAATTTTATGACAAATATTTAAAACGAGTGCAAGAGATGTGATAAAAACCTTGGGAAACTATAATGCTACTTATGGGGGGAAAAAAACAACCACATGTGGCAAAAGACAATTAGGTTATGCTAATGTCAAATGCTCTGATTTAAAGATTTTGCAAAAATGTTTAATGTGCAAATCATAGGTCTAAGAGGAGGTGAGCTGGTTAAAAAAAGAGTGAAAGACAAGTTCATGTTCATCATTTTAAATGGATCTGACAGCAGCTAGGGGCTAAACGGGCTGCTAATTGCCTAGCCGTCTCGCGGCAGTGTTAAAAGGGGAAATGTGGAAGTAAAAGGGGGAAAAAACCATCATCAAATCCTCTCTTCCAGTCTGTCTCCTCTCCTGAAGTAACATCATTAAGGGCAGAATATCATCAAGAGCCTGCATCCTTGCTCCCGGAGTTATTTATGCTGGCAGCTGGAATCAATTATGTATATTGAATACATTTTTTTTTATTGGCATTTGTGAGATGTTTATTTGCACGAAACACTCTCCGCTCTTGTTATTAGGGATGTTTGCATGAGCGATTACATCAAAGTATTTATTTTAGCATGAGGTTGGAAACTTAAGCTGAATGAAGATGATACTTAAAATGGATAATCGCCAACTGCCAATTCTGATTCGTGAACGGTGGCCTGAACGGAGGTCTCAGAGCAGACGAGACTGATTCTGAGGAGGATAATTGAAGACATGAGTTTGCCTAGCAAATTATTTAGAGAATAGGAGCTTTTTAGTATGTGCAATCCTGTTGGCTTCTCAAAATGCTGATACTGGACTGCAACGTTTGGCCTGATTGATCCACAGCATATGGTTAATTACTGTTACCATGATTGCTAGAAAATTCAACAAACATGTCTCTTAAGGCCTGTTCACACCAAGGACGATAACTATGACGTTAACTGTACAGTTTTAATAACCTTTCTAATTATCTGAGAACAGAGACATCCAGTCAAAATATAATGAAAAGCAGAGGAACGATATCTCTGGAATAACTTGAATAACCAGCTGATAAAAAACAAAAAGAAAACATGGCCTATCAGAGTCCAACTGTTGAAGATTTAAAGCAGCAGACAACAAAACTGCAGTGTGCTTATGATAAACAGAACACAAGCATGAACTGATGTGGACGTTAATATACAGCAGTTATCGTGAAAGTTATCATTCTTAGTGTGAACAGGCCTTTAAAGGGACAGTTCACCCGATAATGTAAATCACTCATGGTGTTTTGAAGAAGAACATGAGGGTTCTAAAAGGGGGTATATTCATTTTTGGGTGAACTATCCATTTGAAAAAAAAAAGTGTTTAAGGATATGCAAACATATAAGAAATACCAAAAGATTAAGTTTGGTTAATTTAACAACGAAAAACATGTGAACAGCACAGCATTTGAAATGTCTTAGACTGACTTCATGCCTCAATACCAAGAACACAGATGTCAAAGCTGCATGATTTGTTGCATTCCAGGAGCAGTTCCGGCAGCATTTGAAATTTTCAAATTTTAATTATTTGTGATATCTTAAAAACATAACATCATAACATCATATCAAGTTGCAGACTCCAACTTAATTTCACATGCTGAAACCCTAGAGTAACCTTCACATTCACTGTGGGGGGGGGGGGGGGGGGAACAAACGGGAGAGAAACAAACGGTGAAGCTTCTCAGCTCAGAAATTCCCTCCAGTGGCAGACCATGACCAGGTTCTGCCACGTCCGCTTAATAGAAAAGGTGAGAAGTAACTGCTAATGAGAACCTTACTAATCATTGCTCCTGGTCTCCATTAACCAGTAGAGCCATAATAGGGAGGAAGAAGAGGTTTGAGGGGCTCTTGTGAGGGAGGAAGCCCTACTTATGAAGAGCCAAGTAAAGATACGTGCATGACAGCAGCAGACTGAATGAGGTAAAGCCAGGCTTGGCCAGATGGAGGGTGTTGGGGGATGTAATTACATTTTCTGGTCACTTCAGCAGCATTATTTGATCATTTTAAAGCAGGCCTTGGGGAGGCAATTTTATGTGGGGCTGGCTAGAAAAAGCATTTGGATGCCACTGTGAAAGTTGCCCATGCTAGAATGGCATCGCTAGCAATATGTTCCTGCAGATGCCAGATCAAAAAGCTATCTTTGGTGATTTATTTTTCTTTTTTTAAGTGTGGTGGCACCCTTGCTATCATTATATATATTGTCCTAAGCGAGATGTGGTAGTAATGTGGAACTCACAGTCTCTGAATCCCAGTGTACAACTCCATGTCAACATCCCTCAACGTCTGCAAGCCCGACCAGTTCTCAATGTGTCTGCAAAACAAATCCAGAGCATAGAATTAGAACATATTCATCTGAAAATTCCCATTGGCCTGTAGAGAAGTCAAAGATGTTGTGATTGGTTCAAAACAGAAAAACATGATAAATATTAGAAATGCACCAATATAAAAAATCCTCACCAAAAAGCCGATAATAATTATGTTACGGCAAATAACTGATAAATGGCTGATATTAAAATTATATACTACTTTGTCTAAAAATAAATAAATAAACAAATAGATAAATAAAATGCATAAAACATATTATATATACATACAGTATATATACATACAGTATATATATAAAATTTAAGGGGGTCTGAATACTTTCCGTACCCAATGTATATATATGTGTGTGTGTGTTAACAATTATTAAATATTTATTACTAAATAGGATAAATAAGAATGCACAATTAAATATACAGTATCCATGATGAGATAAAATGATGAGACAAAAGAAAAGAAAAGAAAAAAGAAAAGAAAAGAAAATATTGGCTGATATAATATCAATATATTGTGCATTCCAAGAAGATTTGTTTGGAATTTTGCTGGACAAACAGACAAGGGCTAGATATGTTCAAAGCCAAATTCGAACTTTCAACACCCACATAACCCACTAGGCCTTGGCTCCAACTTATAAAGAACATTTGATAAAGCCAAAAAAAAGAAATATAAATATATATATATATATATATATATATTTATTTATTTATATTTATAGTTCCCAAAGAACAAAAAGACAGCTCCCAATACCGCTGCCAGTGGTTGACAGAAATAACTAGACCAGCTGTGACAAGAGCCAGCTGGCATCATCGTTTTGTGAATTAGCAGCCATTACAACACAGACTCTGATTAATAAATGTTTTCAGAAGTTTGGCCAATGCCATAACTATGTTTCTAGAAGTTTCCCCAGCTCGAACACTTTGGGCATCCGCTGCTAAACGCTGATAAACACAGCCGTTCAGAAGACAACAAGGGCTTGCCGACGAGCAGACGAAATGAAAGTTTGAGCTCTCTGTGTAAAGTGGAATATTAAAATGTTTATGCTTTCATGTCAACGCAGGTATAATTATTACAAACACACTCTTAAAAATAAAAACTCTCAAATGGGGGGGTTTCATAGCGATGCCATAGAACCATTTTGGGTTCCCCAAAGAACCTTTTAATGAGCAGTTCTTAAAATAACTATTTTTTCTAAGTGTAAAGAATATTTAATAATCTGAAGAACCATTGTCCACTATAAAGAACTTTTGTGCAATGGAAAGACGGTTAAAGGCTGATCACGGAACCACTGATGCCAATAAAGAACCTTTATTTTTAAGAATGTATGTTGGTCCACCAAAAATAAAGATCTAGATAAAAATATAGGCTTATAAAACCAAGCGGTGTCTGCAAACAAACAATGTTTGATTCCATTTGCTTGTTTACTGGTAAATACAGATGGTCATTTTCCATTCAAAGCCAGTTATCAGAAGCATAACACCATCTTGCCTCTCTTCATTTTTATAAGTTACTCATATCACATGCTGACAATTTGCATTCTGAGAACATCAGGATCCAGCCGAGTAATTAAGTCCACATTGGCCGTTCGGACAGAATGTGTCATACACCGAACAAAACCAAAAATTAGCCTGGACAGAACCATCCATCGAGATTTTTAGAGCTCAAGGAAGAAACATTTTTCACAAAAAGACACATTTCACATTAAATGAAACTTATTTCAGTTTCATTCTATGGTAATTTTATGTGCCCAAAGTCTGGTAATGATGCTGTTCAAAGCATGCACTCATTTACAAATAGCTAATCAACTTTTGTACTTGGGGGAGAGACTGGAATGCCAGGAAAATTTGTTTTTTTCTAATCAGTGCTGTACTGGGTAATGTGGTTTTGGAAGCCCTTCGGTTTGAAGGACCCTCTTGGCTGCAGGAAAGTGTTTTCCAGTGTCAATGACGGAAGGTTTTAGATGAACAGCAGGAGGCTTCTGTCTCATCAGCATCTGTATTCAGCTGGCTCATGTGCCATAGAGGACAGCCTGGAGACATATGTGGATACAGTATACTGTACCAGCCAGGACCTCATTATAACAACAAACAAACATCAATGAGAAACCAATAAAAAGAGAAGAAGTGGCACACTAATGGACTAAAACAATAAAATATAAAACACAACTATAAAGAGAAATAAAAATATATGAATACATAAAAATAAAGAAATATGCATAGTTCTTTTGATATATGCAAGAAATGCAGCCAAGGATTTATTATTTGCACAATTATGAGATTTGGTCAGTCTATGTCTTTTGGCAAAAACAAAAAGTTGTAAATTTTGCCATGCCATATATATTAATTTTACACAATTTTACTCTAACTGAAATGGCTTTTTTTAATTAATAAAAATATTCATTTAATTATAAAAATGTTCAAAATGATGACAACCTGTCAACTGTAGCCAGATAAATTTGACAAAAAAAATATTTATAAACACATTGAAAACACAAACATTTTGTAATATTTAATAATCATCTCTAATACATGATTTTATTTATTATCTTACATTTTATGTACAGTATAGTAAAGTTTTCTCTTTCTTTCTTTCATTGTGTCATTTGTATCAGTCATTTGTATTTTTTTTATATTTCTATTTAGCTTTATTTTTTTCAGTCTTAGTAATTGTAGTACTTCAATTAAAATTGTATTCAGTAAGTTGTCAAGGCAACACATTTCAAATCTTTAATTTTTCAAATGTAAGTTTTCATAAAAAGTTTATTTCTGCTTAATTTCTATTGCAGAATATATATATATATATATATATATATATATATATATATATATATATATATATATATATATATATATAGTGTGTAATACACACACGTGCACATGCTCACACACACATATATAACAAATATTATATATTAAATAATTATAGAATATTGAAATAACATTTTTTTTATAATACATAAAATATACAGTATGTTTAAATAAAGCATTTCACCTTCATTGCCACTGACAAAACCAAAAGAACCTTCTGTCAACAAATATATATCAGTAATTTCATTGATTAGGTGTAGTGACACAGACTCCAGCTCACCATTACTCATTGTCTGGTGCTCCCAAATCACGTTCCGTCTCACGATTTATTCAGTCACGTTTAAATTACCCAGAATGCAATTACACCTAAGCTAATGAGAAAGCGTTTAATTGAAGAGAGGGCAGCACATTCCTTGGAGCATTTGGCTTGTCAGCTATGCAAATTCACGCGCTTGTAGCTTTCTGTTGTGGAAACGTGATTCCCAGAGGTCTCCCCTCTCGTCCGTTGACAGAAAGTGGCGATTGGCACCTGGTGGCTAGCGGATCGAGCTGGGTAGGCCATTTTGTGACACTCCTAAAGGAATCCAAAGTCTTAATCGCTTATTTATCTCTGGCACTTAACGACAAATGATTTAAAACTTCTGGGATTTGCCACTGTGTCATGATCTCGATACTGTCAGTTCAATCATTCAGTGGCTCAGGCGCTTCTCTCTCCCGATCACTCATTCGCTCGCACATACACACACCCAGATGCTGTTTTTCTTGACACTGCGGTAAGCAGCTGCACGACACACATCTCCAATAGCTGTGCCCGGGAAATTACGAGCCACCCTCCATCTGTTGCTAGCATCAGGTTTTCTGAGCTCGGCTTGCACATATTTACATCAGCCATAGAAATGTAACAACGTCCATATCTGGTTTGAACATGTCAACCTTCTACACTTGATCTGTGTATGTATGAGTAGGCATATGCGGGAGCATTTATGTGAAAAACAGACCACATCCTGCACAGGGAAGCCTCGACGCACATCTCAATTGGTAACTACGCCTGAGTCTAATTATAAATTATATTTATTTCAGGTTGTTGAACTGAGGCTGTTTGAGCTGTGTAAGATTGAAAGCCCGTCTTTTCATCGCATAAGTCTTATGACATGGCACTCAGACTAAACCAGTTCCACAAATACTGAGCTTCAACCATTTTTCGAAAATTAAAAGGTCACGTGATTAGGCAAATCACACACACAAAATGTCAAACTAGTTAACAGTCATTTTTATGCAAACACAAAATTCTGTCATCATTTACTCATGTTGTTCCAAATCTTACTTTCTTCTGTGGAGCAATAAAGGAGAAATTTTTAAGAATGTTATAGTGACTATACAGTATAACGTGACTGTCAAGCAGTGTTGTTATTGTTAACTAAAAGTCAAAATATAAAAAAAAATGTCATTAAATTAAATTGTGTTCATTAAAATAAATAGAATAAAAATAAATATTATATGAAAAACTTAGATAAAAAAAATAAATAAAAGTAAAATAAGTTAATTATATTAATAACTAATAATATTAATAAATACTAAAAATAAAACTGAAATAAATTACAGCTAAATTAAAAAATAAATATATTTAAATTACATAAATGACAAAATTACCAAAAAAAATTTAAACTACCAAAATTAAAATGAAAACTGGCCATATAAAGAAAAATAATTAAAAATATTCATAAATTCACACATAAACACAGCCTGTGTGACAGTTCTATGTGAGAACATTTAAGTAGGGAAAAATTTAACGAAGAAGAAAATTGTATCTACTTGCCAATGTGATATGCATGCATTTCTTTATTCAGAAAACAAAAGAATATTATAAAGAATAAAAGAATAATATATTTTGAAGAATGTTGGTGAGTTTTGGTAACCACTGACTTCCACTGGATGAAGCAAAAAAATGTTCCACTGAAGACACAAGGGTGAGTAAATGATGACAGAATTTTCAGTTTGGGGTGAACTATCCCTTTGAAATATTGTGCAAAAATCATACAGACTCAGCTATTTTTTTTTTTGTCATTTTTGGAGTTTGTCAGCCTCGGTACCCATTCATGTTCATTAAATACAAAATAATGAACAGTCTTCAAAACATCTCCTTTTGTGATGCAAAGAAGAAAATCATACAGGTTCGAAACAACAT